GTGACTGCTGGGCTCACAGGGTTTGTCCTGAATCCCGGCCGGGGCCCCATGCTGTGTGACTGCCGGGCTCACAGGGTTGTCCTGAATCCCGGGGGCCCAGGGCTGCGTGACTGCCGGGCTCACAGGGTTTGTCCTGAATCCCGGCCGGGGCCCAGTGCTGCGTGACTGCTGGGCTCACAGGGTTGTCCTGAATCCTGGCCGGGGCCCAGGGCTGCGTGACTGCCGGGCTCACAGGGTTTGTCCTGAATCCCGGCCGGGGCCCCATGCTGCGTGACTGCTGGGCTCACAGGGTTGTCCTGAATCCCGGGGGCCCAGGGCTGCATGACTGCTGGGCTCACAGGGTTTGTCCTGAATCCCGGCCGGGGCCCCATGCTGCGTGACTGCCGGGCTCACAGGGTTGTCCTGAATCCCGGCCGGGGCCCAGTGCTGCGTGACTGCTGGGCTCACAGGGTTGTCCTGTATCCCGGCCGGGTCCCCGTGCTGCGTGACTGCCGGGCTCACAGGGTTGTCCTGAATCCCGGCTGGGGCCCAGTGCTGTGTGACTGCCGGGCTCACAGGGTTGTCCTGTATCCCGGCCGGGTCCCCGTGCTGCGTGACTGCTGGGCTCACAGGGTTTGTCCTGAATCCCGGCCGGGGCCCAGGGCTGCGTGACTGCCGGGCTCACAGGGTTGTCCTGTATCCCGGCCGGGTCCCCGTGCTGCGTGACTGCTGGGCTCACAGGGTTTGTCCTGAATCCCGGCCGGGGCCCCATGCTGTGTGACTGCCGGGCTCACAGGGTTGTCCTGAATCCCGGGGGCCCAGGGCTGCGTGACTGCCGGGCTCACAGGGTTTGTCCTGAATCCCGGCCGGGGCCCAGTGCTGCGTGACTGCTGGGCTCACAGGGTTGTCCTGAATCCTGGCCGGGGCCCAGGGCTGCGTGACTGCCGGGCTCACAGGGTTTGTCCTGAATCCCGGCCGGGGCCCCATGCTGTGTGACTGCCGGGCTCACAGGGTTGTCCTGAATCTTGGGGGCCCAGGGCTGCATGACTGCTGGGCTCACAGGGTTTGTCCTGAATCCCGGCCGGGGCCCCATGCTGTGTGACTGCCGGGCTCACAGGGTTGTCCTGAATCCCGGGGGCCCAGGGCTGCATGACTGCTGGGCTCACAGGGTTTGTCCTGAATCCCGGCCGGGGCCCAGTGCTGTGTGACTGCCGGGCTCACAGGGTTGTCCTGATCCCGGCCGGGTCCCCGTGCTGCATGACTGCCGGGCTCACAGGGTTTGTCCTGTATCCCGGCCGGGGCCCAGTGCTGCGTGACTGCCGGGCTCACAGGGTTGTCCTGTATCCCGGCCGGGGCCCAGTGCTGTGTGACTGCCGGGCTCACAGGGTTGTCCTGAATCCCGGCCGGGGCCCCGTGCTGCGTGACTGCCGGGCTCACAGGGTTGTCCTGAATCCCAGCCGGGGCCCAGTGCTGTGTGACTGCCGGGCTCACAGGGTTTGTCCTGAATCCCGGCCGGGGCCCAGTGCTGCGTGACTGCCGGGCTCACAGGGTTGTCCTGAATCCTGGCCGGGGTCCAGGGCTGCGTGACTGCTGGGCTGTCCCCAGTCCCTCCACTGCAGACACAGCTCCCTTTTGGGCTCCAGAGTCCTCGCCAGGGTCCCCCGCCCCCCCCTCCCCCGTAGGACCTGCCCTTCCTGAGAGCCCTGGTCCTAGGGGTTTGCTGAGCGGGAGAAAAGGAACAGATTTTCAGCCTGGATTAGAATCCCCAGGCTGCCTCCACCGTTCTGAACCTTCCACCTGGAGAGGACGGTGGACGAATGGGCCACCAGGCAGACACGCGAAGTCCCTCAGCGCCTGTCGCTAGGGGCTCTTGATTCCTGGTACTTCCCTCCTTGGTCCGCAAGCTGGAGCACAGCTGCAGAAGTCGCCTCGACCCCTGACCCCCGACCCCCAGAAAGCAGATGCTGTGCAGCTGCCACGAGCCCGGGCCTCTGGTCTGCCGGCCTTTTATTGTCCTCTGGTGTTTGGTGGCCTCACGTCCCACAGCAGCTGAAGTTCTACATTTCTTTCTCACAAGCCTCTGGTTCTTATCCCTTCGCTTTGGGAAAACGCCCCACCCCCATGCTGCTGGCAGTACAGTCTGAACAACAGGACGAGCCCACCCTGTCCTTCCAGACCACCGCGCTACGTGCGGTCACAGACCTCACCTGGACAGAGCCGGTCTGCCCTGGGGACACGCCGAGTGTGTGGAGAGCCTCCGATGGAGGGCGCCTCGGCTTCCTCAGAAGGGGAGCTACCTAGCACCCCAAAAGGTGGAGGATTTTCCAAAGTGTGCTTTCGCTGTGTCAGAGGCCAGTTCCAAGGGTCCTTAGAGGCATCTCGTTAAGCTTGTTGTTTAGAATCGAGGAGTCTGCCTCCCAGGGGTGAGATGACCAAGGTCACACTCGGAGCCAGGAAGGGAGGCTGGGCCACCGCGGCTTGTCTGGGTGATGACGTCCCATCCCAGTGGGTGTTTAACTGTGTCCTCAGTGAAGTTCCCGCCGGTGCCCAGGGGCATGAATGGAACACTTTCCCCCGGGAGGCACACGCTCTGTGGCCCAGCCGTGCGGACGCCGCCCCAGCAGGGTGTCCCCGGCCGGGTCACAGCACGCTGGCAGCAGGACTGTGAGCCCGCATTCGTTACCGAGGACTCTGCTCAGAGGGCAGTCACGGGAGCCCTCCCGGCCCCTCTTCGCAGCATGTGATCCCGAGGGCTCGGGGGCCAGGAGGAGTGGGAACGGCCCCGGGCGGAGTTTCACCTGCTCTGCCGCTGACCCTTTGCATGGCTGGCATTTTTCCCTGCTGTGCACCAGCCTCCTCCAGTCCCGGCTTCTATGTGACAGCTGTACTTGAACCCTAGGTCTGTTCGAAGCCTTTTCACTGAGTTGATCCGGAGAGAGCAGGTGGTATGGTGGGCAGTGAGCAGCGGGTTCGGCCCAGGTTCCAGTCCTGTCTCCTCCAGTTACGTGTGTAGCTGCCCTGGGCCGAAGTGTCCTCTGCTGTACAGATCTGAACCCCCATGACCTCAAAGCCTGCCAGGCAGGAATGCAAAAATGTGAGCATTATTACTGTTTTTATTTTTTGAACCATAAGTTACCCTGTCACCTGAGGGCAGCATCCCAGCTGCCCCCTGTGGTAATCGAGCCCTCCACGTCCGACTCAAGGCCAGTCTCATGCGCGGTTGCCCCCCTCTGCCAGCCACACTGCTGCTTGTCATTCCGTGCACACACCGTGGTCGGGCAGGGGTAGGTGGGAGCAGGCGCAAGCCTGGCCCCACGTGGTGGTGTCTCCTCTCACTATTTCCGGGACCCCCAGGTCTTTTTCTCCAGGTGGGGACAGGGTGAGCTTATCTTTCACTTATTAGGGAGCCTGCACAGGTGGTGGAAATCCAAGTGAAGCCAGGTTGTTATAAATGCTCTCCAGGCCTCAGGGCCCCCCGTGTGTATACCTTAACCCAGGCTGGACCCCAGCCTTAGGGGGGAAGGGACCATTGTATTTCCCTGGCTCACCTTCTTTGTTCTCCTGGCTCCGCTGAACAGTCCCGGGAGCAGCTCTGGGTCTCTGTCTCTGATGCTCACTTCATTGCAGCTGAAAGCCCGCTGGAGCCCTGGCCGGTTTGGCTCAGCGGTTGGAGCGTTGGCCTGCGGTCTGGAGAGACCCGGGTTCAGTTCCCACTAAGAGCATGTACCTCGGTTGCAGTTTGTCCCCGGCCCTGTTTGGGTCGTGTAGGTGGCGACCACTTGATGTGTCCCTTTCACGTTGTTTCTCTCTCTCTCCTTCCCACTCTATCTGAACAAAATATCAAAAAATGTCCTCGGGAGAGGATAAAAAAAAAAAGCCCTTGGGCACGAGAAACAGAGATGCTGAATTTCCAGGCCCACGACTGGATTTCTTTTTGGACGCTGCTCAGCTAGGCTCAATTCCTACTAATATGGAAGAAGCCCTCAGTAATGTGTAGCCTTTGTCAGGTCACCTGGAGATGCCCAGTATTCTTGCTGACTTCTGTTTCTGGCGTAAGGAGGGAGAAAGCCAGCAGTGTTTGAGGTATGCTCACTGGAAGCCCTTCTGTAGCTTGAACTTGCAACGCAGAAGTCCAGCTGGGGGGCGCCGGCTCCGCCTGCTACTGGTCGTGTGGATTTCGGGCGAGTTGGTGACTGACTTGTCCCGGTCTGCCTGGGACTTTCCCAGTGTGAGCACTGAAAGTCCTGCGTCCTGACCACAGCTCCGTGCTGGGCAAGCTGGGGTGGTCGGTCTCTGTGTAACCTGACTGATTTCTCCAAGCGCCAACGTCCTCGGCAGGAGCATGTTACCTGTTTCTTAGGGTTCTGGATGTGACAGGAGAGTGTGTGGAGTGCTAAGCGGGTGTTTCAGTTTTCAGAGCTGCTGTATCAAAGTACCACAAACTGGGTGGCCCAGAACAGCAGAGGTTTATTGTCTCAGAGGGCAAGGTCTGAGGTCAGCGTCGGCCGTTCTCCCCCTGGACCCATGGGGGAATCCTTCCTTGCTTCCTCCTGGCTTCTGGGAGTTCCCTGGCGATCCTTGGCGTTCCTGAACTTGGCAGACCTCCGACTTCCCTCCGCGGGTCTCTCTCTGCACCACAGTTCCCCTTTTAATAGGGACACCACTCATATCGGGTTAGGGCCCACCTCATTTTTTACTTGATTACCTCTGTAAAGACCTTCTTCAAAAAGGAGGTCACCTCTGAGGCACTGGGGTGGGTGGGTTAGGACTTCCGTGCATCTCTTGTGGTGGACACAATTTGATTCACAACAGCAGGGTTAGCTACGTCTGTTATCGCTGTTCGTATCATTATCTTTGCAATCATCGAGAAACAAGCGTATCTAAGACACAGCTCCAGCGCCCGAGGAGAGGGTGGCAGGAGGCCCCGTCACGCAGAGGACCTGAGCCCGTCTCTAAGCCATTTCCGCACAGAGGCTCTAGGGACAGCTCCTCACCCCCGGCTTCTGCTCTGTGCGGTGCAGATGGAGCAGATGAGGAGCGAGCTACTTCAGGAGAGAGCTGCGAGACAAGACTTGGAGTGTGACAAGATTTCCCTGGAGAGACAGGTGAGGACAGCTGGCCCATGATCCACCCCCCCGCCGAGGCTCTGGACTGGCACCCTCAGTGGCTCCTCCTTTGCACAGCACCCAAAGAACTCGGTGTACCTCTCCCCAGAGAGGTATTGCTAAGACTATTTCCAGAGGGGATTTTCTCAGAGAGATTAAAATGCTTGGAAGTTACAGCTGGGGAGGTGGGATTGCAAGTGCTTTCTAGATCCTCAGATGGGCTAAATGCTAACGTGAAGGGAATAGTAGAGAACCCGTGTTAAAAGCACATGGGTCACTCACACAGCTGACTCGTTATTTCTTTTATGTGCCATTCATGTCAATTCTCCCCGGTTATGGTATGTGGTGTTGGTGAAGGGGCCTATTTCTCCTGCCAGTGGGCTTCTGTGAGGCCCAGGTCAGTGTCCAGGATTCCTAGCCCACGGCAAAGATTTCACTCGGGCTCACAGGGAATGGACCTGATCCCTTCTCTTGGCCTGCGGGACTGGGGCCTTTCTCTGGAACACCCCTGGCTCCCGGATCCCCGGGGGCTGCCCGTCCCGGGTGGAGGGCCGGCTCTTCGCAGTCACTGCCCCGCGCTGGTACCACCTGTCCTCTGCTCGGAGAGAGTGTGGTGCCCGCAGCCCAGGGTCTCCCTGTCTCATTCCAGAACAAGGACTTAAAGAGCCGGATTATCCACCTGGAAGGTTCCTACCGGTCCAGCAAAGAGGGGCTGGTGGCACAGATGGAGGCCAGGATCGCGGAGCTGGAGGACCGGCTGGAGAGCGAGGAGAGGTGAGCCTGCCCCCTGCGGCGCGGAGGCCTGGCGGGCAGTGGCCAGCACGCTGCCGAGTGCTTTCAGATCTTCTTCTTCTTCTTTATGAATCCTCACCCGAGGATATTTTTACATTCACCTTCAGACAGAGTGGGAGGGGGAGAGAGAGAGAAAGAGAGAAACATTGATGTGAGAGAGACACATCGGATTGGTTGCCACCCACATGACCCCAACTGGGGCCAGGGACGAACTGTAACTGAGGTACGTGCCCTTGGCTGGAATCAAACCCGGGACTCCCTGGTCTGCAGGCCCACGCTCTAACCGCTGAGCCGAGCCGGCCAGGGTGGCCCGAGTGCTTTCACACTTGTATCTTCACATCCTCAGAGCTTTCACGTGGGGAAGGCAGAGCAAGTACAACCTTGCTGCTGTTGTTATTCCCACTTGACAGATGAGACAACTGAGACCCATCCAAGTAAGTGCTTGAGGAAAGCAGCCTGGCTGAGTGTCAGTGTAGCTGGACTAAGCCCCAGGACTCCTGCTCTTCGTCCACAGCACTTTCCCGCCCTTGCTGCTCGTTTCCCCATCGCCTCAGTAGGACCAACTGCCTCTAAGCTGAAGTCTGAGCCAGATTAGAGGCAAGGGGGCTGCCTCTGCCCCGAGGGCCGAGAGTATTCACTCCGCTCCGCAGAGGCTGAGTGGCCATCTGTCAGGGCTGGGCAGGTCGCCCCAGAGGATGGGAGGAACAGGTGACCACATACCTTTCCAATACTGTGATTCTTTATAGCTAGCTCTCCGATTGCAGCCCGAGGGCAGCACCAGGTTGAACGTGACCAACCTCAGTTCTTACGTGCGGCCCCTGTCCTTCCAGGAGGGGTGTGGGCGTGCATACCTGTGGGGGTGACATTTCACATTCTCGGTTATCAGGAGGATTTTTGGAGGCTGGGCTGCAGCAGCCCGGACTAGCAGTCTGACAGTGACCTTCGGTCTTACACAGTAAAGCTCGGGACAGAAAGAACTCAGGGCAGGTCCAGTCCCAGCTCTGCCCCTCATGGGCTCTGCAACCTGGGGCAGGCCACATCTCTTCTTAGAGCCCCGTTTCCTCATCTGTCCCATGACCAGCACTTTCCTCCTGTAGTCGCATGTCTCTCTGACCCTCAGCCTTGAGTGGACCAGGCCGCCCCGGTTGGGCGTGCCTCCTCCACAGCCTGGGCTGGGCTTCCTGGGGGGCTGGGATAGGCAGCCCTCAGTTTTGCTTCCTCCACCCCCCAGGGACCGGAGCAGCCTCCAGCTCAGCAACCGGCGGCTGGAGCGGAAGGTGAAGGAGCTGGTGATGCAGGTGGACGACGAGCACCTGTCGTTGATGGATCAGAAGGACCAGGTGAGGGACCCTCTGCAAGTTCATTTCAGATGAGACTGTACGTCCTGGGCTGGGAAGCAAGAGGGCGGCGAGGCCTCTGTGGGCGGGCGATGGGCTTGTGGTGGACTGATCCTGTCCTTCCCTCCACCCAGTCAGAGCACAGAGTGGGGCCTCTCCAGGCTGCCTTAGTAGGATCTCAGCAAACTTCAGACCCTGGACTTGACTTGTAAAAAGTGACTTGTCTGTCACAGAGGCTTATCTCCACTTTCCCGTGAGACTGGTTGCCCGCCTCGCGTGCCTTGGTGACCTGGAGGTGGCCGGGTCACCGGCTGGCCACGCCGGGCTCTGCCCGTCCCAGCCAGGCCGTGAGCCACAGCGCTAACCCCTCTCTCCCGACGCAGCTGAGCTTGCGCTTGAAAGCAATGAAGCGGCAGGTGGAGGAGGCAGAGGAGGAGATCGACAGGCTGGAAAGCGCTAAAAAGAAGCTGCAGAGGGAGCTGGAGGAGCAGGTGGACGTGAATGAGCAGCTGCAGGGACAGCTCAACTCCATGAAGAAGAACCTCAGGTGGGCAAGTGCGGCGACCCCGACCCTGAGGAGAGTCCCTGCTTCCAGGCTACCCTCACGCCTGTTGCTTCAAGCCCGTTTCTCCTTGTCGCCGTTTGGGGGTCATCCTGTCCTACAGATGGGAGTGGCTGTGTCCACTTCAGTCGCCCCAGGCGCTCAGGAGGGTCTCATCCCCGGACCAGCGCTCCGGTGTCGGCCAGGCAGATGTTACCCCTGTGGTGCATGAGGAGAAACTGAGGCTAGGGCATGTCATATAGCTCCCCCACCAGGGAGGGGGCGGCTCCCCCGTCAGCCCTTAGCACCCTCATGTCTACCTGACTTCGGGGGAACTGAGGTTATGCTTTGGTCCGTGTCCTCATGAGGGATGTCCTGGGATCCAGGAGAGGATTGTCTCTATAGCTCCACGGCTGAATGGGGTGGGGTGTCGCTTTCCCTGCCCCAGGGTCACTCTGTGGGCACTGGGGTAAGGGGTGGATTAGGTTCATGCTCCTCCACAGGGCTGAGCCTTTCTTGGAGGCTGACTATGCTGGCGGGGCCAGTAGTTTTCCTATTAATGGACAGAAGACTCCAGCCCCTTGAGAGTCCTATAAACAGGGCCTGTCCACCGAGGACCAGCCCCATAGCTGGCACGAGGGTGCAACATTTAAGGGGGCTCCAGAAATCTCAGTGATCAAGACAGATAATAGTAAATGCAGTATTTTAGAAAATAATGCAAAAAACAATCCCTGGTGGACATCAAAAATTTTAATTAAGATGGGATTAGCAACAGCCCCCTGGTGAGCCATGTTGGAACTTGAGGCAAAAGGAAAAATCAGTACTACTGACCTTGTCCCAGCTGAAGGATCTAGCAGGTGCAGACCAGGTAAGTTCACACGCTTCCCCGCCACTCAGGGGGGTGGAGAGGCAGGGACCCGAGACCTTTCCTTCGTCCCCAGATCAGAGCTGACCCCAGGCCAGGGCCAGGACTCACGACCGTGTTGTCTCAGCAGGCTGAAGCAGCTGCCTAGTAAAGTGCTGGATGACATGGACGATGATGACGACCTCAGCACCGAGGGGGGCAGCCTCTACGAGGTGCCGCTGAGCTACACCTTCCCCAAGGATGCCACCAGCCAGCTCTGAGTCCCCTGCCGGGGCTGTGGAGGTGGCCTGCCAGGCCTGCCATGCCTCCCAGGGACCCTCGGCCGCCCACAGCAGGAGGCGGGAAAGACGGCACCGTCGGAGCTGAGACACCGCGCTGCCTCGGCGCTTGACCAGCTGAGTCCTCCAGGCTCCGTGCCTCCTGGAGGCCGGGTGGGAGCCCTTTACCTTGGACAAGGAGCTACTGCAGTTTCGATGTTGAGACGCCTGCGGCCTAGCAGCCACCTCCCACTGGGGTGTTTGGAAAATACCATTTGTCAGGCCGAAGTCCTCTCTGTACAGCCCTCTGCCAGGCCATTTGCATTGCTGCTCCTGCCCCCCCCCCCAGGAGAAAGGGTCCAAAATGCTAGTTATAGTTAATGGCCACGGTGCGTGGTGGGAAGCCATGGCCAGGCTGTGCGTATTTCAAGCCAGACCTTCTCATGACATTTCGGAATGTTACAGAGGCTTCCGGGGGGCTTGTTTGTCAAGTTCACATGTCTGTATTGAGTATTATTATTTTTTAAATGTGAAGCTACTAGATTTCAAGTATTGAGGAGAGAGAAAGAAGGTAGAGTAAAGACCACTTCGGACGTCAGAGTTGGAGAAGGAGAACTGTCATGATGACAAGGGACAGTTAACTCTGAGAAGGGAACCTCAGGTGGTCTTGGTGGACCACTTGCTGATGGAAGAAGAGAGTTGGAGGCCACTTGGCCTCGGCTGTTTATTGTATCTAAAATTCTGTTACAATTTCTGAACCATGCCGAGACCAGTTCCCAGTCACCATTGCAGTTTCTTTTGCACAGGGGGTAGGGAGACGGGCAAGCAAGGTTTTTGACAAATGATGTGGTTTCTGGAAGGATGGGGCCCTCCTGTCATTTCTTATTGGTCCTTTCTGCCCTCCGCCTCTAGCAGGGCTCTGAACTGGGCTCCTGGTCCTTGGATGGGTGGTTGTTGGGTGGGGAATAGCAGGCTATGGGGACAGGGCTCATGGGCTTAGGGGTGAGGAAGAGGCAGGTGGTGTCCAGTAAGGTCGCTGGTAAAGGGACAAGGCGGAGGGATACGCAGGTGTGTGTGGGTCTGAGTGGGAAGGAGGAGAAGGGAAGCTGGGGGATGTGCAGACAGCAGGTGGATGGAGCAAGCGCTCAGGTTCATGTCAAGGGAGGGAGGAAAGAAACGGAAGTCAGACAGGTGTATCTGTGCAAACGGGAAGGCTCCTTCCCAGTTCCTGGGACGGGGACATTGGCCAGCACCAGGCAGGGCGTGACGGGCACTGGTGAGGTCTGGGGCAAGGCCACATTGCAGGGACAGACTTACAGGACGGTGGCATTGGGAGGATGCAGGGCGCCCCGGCCCTTCTCCTGGCCTTCCTGGTGTCTCCTCCCGCGGTGACCGTTGCCAGGCACACCAGAGGCCAGGTCCAGTCTGGGCTCCCGCAGGTCGGCCCGGGAGAGAACCCTGTGAGCTGTGAACATGTCTGGGGCGGAGATGACAGTGTTGCTCTTCCGGCAGCGTGCCCAGGCATCCTCACAGATGGGAGGCCTGTGGACTGAGCACTCCATGCTAGTTGCCATGGGGAGCAGGGAGTCTCGGTGCCCTCCCTACCCCATGTCACAGAGCCCACAGAACAGGATTCAGAGTGACCAGCCTGGTTTAAGGGCAGGTGTAATCCCCACCCCCACCCACTCCCTCACACACAGGTGAGGCCTCTGGAGCAGGAGAACCAAACCCTCCACCTCTGATTTGGGGTGTGGAGAGAGTCCTCCCTTTAGCCATTCATTCATTTAGCAAATATTTATTGGGCATCCACAACGTGTTAGGCATGGTCCTTGGCACTGGGAATATAACAGTGAGTAAAATGGATCAAAAGCACACCCCTTCTGGAGCACAGTCAGGGGAAAGGAGGTGATAGACAATAGTTACACAAACTGACACAGAGCATGAGCCCTCCGTACCCAGCCCGGGAGCCCCTCTGTCCTCTTGGGGGTGGAACCAGCCTGCAGACGGTTGGCTGGCTCCCTAGAACTCCCAGGGTTTATTTGACCCTCAGTATGTTCTTGACTCCCCTGCTGCTTCCGCCGTCACGAGGTATCGCCAGGAAGCCTACCTCGTGACTCCCCAGCCCACTCCTAACCCGGGCTGGGGTCAGAGAGCTCTGAGGCCCAAGAGCTTTGCGGGTGAGGAAGTGCCTGTCTTGCTTTGTGAGAAAGTCCCTGCCCCTCATTTTGGCCAATTCATTCTGGTACCCCTGGGCTGGCTGCGAGGAGAGACCTGCCCATGAAGAGAGCGGAGATCACCACTCAGAAGACTTGCAGCCTGACCCTAAAAACGGGCCATTTTGCATGTTACGGGAGCTGGCGGTGAGCTGGGTGAGCGCAGCATAGTTTTGGGGTGGGGAGAGTGCCAGACTGGGCGTTGAGAGGTGTTGTCAAGCCCCGGCTTACCTTACCCCGGTGATCCCGCGGGGCACGCGCCCGCTGAGCCCGATTCCCAGAGTAAACGGAGCCCAGGGCTCAAGGTTCTTTCCAGCCCTGACATGCTCGTTCTTTGATTTTATTATATACACATGGTTTTTTGTTTGTTGCTTTAAGAACTAACCCTACTCAAGAATATTTTCTTTAGCTAGCTTAAAAGGAAGGAAAATATTTTATTTAATAAATATGTGGCCGAATGCAATGCGGAGGAGACAATCATCACGTATCTTTCATTTTGTTTTTCTGCTTCTGGGAGTCCTTGGACAATGCCAGTCGGCTCATCCTGCTGGGTTTCTGCATTCGGGTTTGGTTTGATTGCTTGGGTTTGTCATGGGGAAGAGACCTTCTTCTGCAGCTGCCTCTATGTAAGCGGACTCCTGGGTCAAGCAAGATTGCCTTTCAATAAACGTGTCACCTGACGGGAACCTCAGCTCGCCCGTTGTTTTGACTTCTCCAGAGCCTGGCTCCGTGTCTGCCAAGAAACGGCTGAGGTGAAGGGCTGGAAGCTGCTCGGGGAGGTGAAACATGGCGGCATTCCAGGCCCAAGACCAGTTTCTGGAACAGACGGGTGTGGGGAGTGGGTCAGTGGGGAACACTGGGAGAACCAATGTACCTGGATGGTTGTGATGCTGAGACATCCAAACCACCCATTCCCAGAAAACAGCCAACGGAGAGGTGTGTTAATAATGGAGAATAAAGAGGCAGCTCCTGTGTGTCCCTTGTTCCTAAACTAAAATGGGTTCTCTTGTCCTCAGATTCGCACTTAATCTCTCTTGATCCACAGCAGGTTGCCAATTGGTACCATGGTCTCCGTTGTCTAGGAAACGAGAGTTACTTCTTCGGAGAAGGGACCTGTCCTGCTTTTACTGTCCGCAGACCCATTTTCTGCCCTGTCCTCTCGAGGCGGGTCCCTCTGTGACTGATGACCGCTGTGGTGGGGGTCAGCTGATGGGAGCAGGTGGGGTGGGGCCTCTCTCGCTGTCACTCCCGGCTCTGTGCGGCATCTCCCCCTGTGGCTCCTACTGTGGGCTCCCTCGTGCCTGCAGCCTCCTCCTCATGCCTCCGGTTCTCACGTGGTCATGGCTTCCTGCTGCTGTTCCCCTGGGTCCCTCGGCAGCCCTGGCAGGTTCTTGCAGCTCCGCCTGCAAGGCAGCTCTTTTTAAAACTTTTAAAATATGTTTTTATTGATTTTAGAGAGAGAGGGTGGGAGGGAGATAGAGAAACTCTAATGGGCTGCCTCCTGCATGCCCCCCAACTGGGGATCGAGCCTTCTGGTGTGCGGGATGACACCCAGCCAGGTGAGCCACACTGGCCAGGGCTGCAGGGCAGCTCTTCCCTCACATCTGGGCAGCTGCAGGTGGCTGCTGTTTCTCGCCCAGTGCTCCGCCCACTGCCCCCTCGATGCCCCCAGTCAGGGAAGCATTCTGCCCATGCTGCTGTCCTGCAGCCCTTGACTCTCCTTATTCTGACCAGAGCATCCCAAACATAAACGAGGTTTTTCTAATCATAGTAAGTCCTCCAAGCCTTTGCACAATTTTTAAGAAGTCAGGGCCGCGTGGAGTCGAACGCTGAGAGGCCACGTCTTCCTCAGGAGCCCAGAACCAAAGGGAAGGAGCCCTTCCAGGCCCGCAGCTCCTTCCCCCACAGTTTCGGCATTCTTTCTTTGAATTTGAGGATCGTTACAGTGATCCTGTCTTAGTTGGAGACCGTCATTAGTCGGAAAGTTTTGTGTTCTCGACAGCAAGCTCCTATCAGGGGCTTAACAGCCCCCCGTGCAGAAAATTCGAGGCTTTGCAGAGGGACCACCCTGACCTGGTCATGCTCTCAGACCTGCTGATCATCGCAGACATTCGTGTGCATGACCTGAGACCCAGCCTGTCTCCATGCGCAAAGCAAGGTCTGAGTGTGTGCCCCACGCTGGGTTTCTTAAGGCCGGAAAGTGCGCAGTGACGTTCCAAATGACAGTCACAATAATGTCTCTTCTGTGGGGGGACGTTCGCAGGTTTCCCAGCGTGCGGAGCCTCAGTCGGTCTCACAACAGATTGTCGACAACTCCTCCTCGACTCCAGAGGTTTTCTGAGTAAACAGAATTAACCAGTTTTATGAGAAAGGCAGAGACTGGCAGGCAGGGAGTCTGAGGCTCGGGGAAGTTGGGTGTTTTCTGTAGGTCACATCTGAAGTAAGTAGCCAGCCCGTGGGTGGAACCTGCCACCGTGGGCCAGGTGCTGTGGCAAGTGGACGTGGGAGCCACAGTCTGTGATTCCAGTGTAACTGTAAAAATGGAGATGATTAAACTAAGTGGAAATTAGATATGACTACTAAGCCCTTCATGTGTTTATGGCATATCAAATGTGTCTGGTTTTCCTTGTGCGTGGCTAGCACATACTGTCTGGTCAGTACCACGTTTTCCTTGAGACCACACACAATTCAATGGCTGATGTGCTGAGCACTTACCTGCCACGTGCCAGGCAGCCAGGCATCGTTCTAAACCCTCTACCTGTCTAAACCCTCTACCTGTCCACTCACCTGGTCCTTCCGGCTGCCGGTCCTGCTGTGACAAGTGAGGCAGCCCAGGCAGAGGGCGTTGCCACCCTGCCCGAGGGCACGTGGTGGGAGGGGAGCCAGGCTTGGGGTTGGGTCTGGCCCTGTTCAGTACCGGGAAGCTCTCCCAGACTCCCTGCCTGGGAGCGCCGAGGTCTTGCTTAGAGGCTCTGACCCTTCCTCTTTCAGTGCTGCGGGGTCCTCTCAGCAGACTGCTGCTGGCCTCCCCTGAGCACCGGGGTCCTCTCGGCAGACTGCTGCTGGCCTCCCCTGAGCACCGGGGTCCTCTCGGCAGACTGCTGCTGGCCTCCCCCTGAGCACCGGGGTCCTCTCGGCAGACTGCTGCTGGCCTCCCCTGAACACCGGGGTCCTCTCGGCAGACTGCTGCTGGCCTCCCTCTGAGCACCGGGGTCCTCTCGGCAGACTGCTGCTGGCCTCCGTCTGAGCACCGGGGTCCTCTCGGCAGACTGCTGCTGGCCTCCCTCTGAGCACCGGGGTCCTCTCGGCAGACTGCTGCTGGCCTCCGTCTGAGCACCGGGGTCCTCTCGGCAGACTGCTGCTGGCCTCCCCTGAGCACCGGGGTCCTCTCAGCAGACTGCTGCTGGCCTCCCCTGAGCACCGGGGTCCTCTCGGCAGACTGCTGCTGGCCTCCCCTGAGCACCGCAGCCAGAGGCAGACTGCTGCTGGCCTCCCCTGAGCACCGCAGCCAGAGGCAGACGGGAATCAAAGTGAAGGCGAAGCCATGCACTGCGGCCGCGGCTGCCGCGCGTTCTGAGCTGCTCTCGCGCCCTGCTGTCGGAGGTGCCATGGCCACTGTGGCCCGGGTCTCACGGAGGCTGACCTGGCTTGTCTGGGCCTGAGCTGGCAGGATGGCTGCTCTGGGTGCTATCGGGCCTCCTGCTGTCTCCCCACATGGAACGTGGTCTTTGGGTAACATCAGCCAGTCCCTGAGTTGGTGGGACAGTTACTTCCCCAGTTCCTAGACTGCTTTGTGATGAGAACCTTCTAGAACAGTCTTGGTCTTCACGGCGTAGTGCAACTTTCCCCTCAGTCCCACGTTGCGCACTGCGCCTGCCCTCTGGGATCGGACTGTCCTCACGGAGCACTGTGGGCCCTCTGGGGAGCCCTGTGGTTGGCCGGAGGCTGGGAGCCCGGAGTTGGCCGCAGAGTCTGCTAAGCTGGAGGAGACTCTGCTAAGCGGAAGTGGGCTCTGGGTCCCTGCAGGGAGCAGGGCCTGTGTGCAGGGAGGGAGGGAGTCTCCTGGCACAGCCAGCCTCAGGACTCAGCCCTGGGCAGGTGCTCACCTGGAAGGAAGGGGCCTCGGCCATTCCCAGGACAGTAGGGCTCCTGCTGTGGAAGCGGCCTCCTGGCCTGGCCTGGGTGGGAGCTGGGGTGGGACTGTGTGTGCAGGTTGGGGAGGTGATGGGCACCTGCCTCCCCAGCCACCCCATAGACCCAGGGCATCCCTTCTGAACCCCCACCCAGGGACTCTACAAAGATAAACCAATATTGCCATGTGGATGGACCTGCTGGTCTTTATGGGCTGTGGAAGTGATTATATTTTAACATCTAAATAAAATCCCTTAATATTATAGAAACTGCAACTGGGCAGAGCCCTGTGGACCAGGGGTCTTGTCCTCTATCTGATTTCATCTGCATCCCGTGAGGTGGGGGTGGTCGGCAGCATGTGCAGAGAGAGAAACAACTTGTCCAAAGTGAGTAGTGAGTAAATGGTGGGGCTGGGGAAAGTCCCAGCCTGCTGCTGTTGCCAACCCAGAGATCCCTGTACCTTGGCCATTCTCCCTCGCTTCCCCTCCAAAATAGTCACCGCGGACCTGCCCAGCCGAGGGCATTCGGCACAAAGGCTGGGTGGTTTGTCTGAGGTCACAGTACCGGCCTCTGGATCAGAAGTCTGCTTCTGGAGCTTGAGGCCCCCACGAGAGGAAGGCAGACAGCCTGCCCGCCCCCGTCTGCAGGCCCCTCCTGCCAGCTGCCGAGCCTCGTTCCAGCCGCCCCTGGCCCTGCTGGCCCCTCCAGGACTGGCTTGCTTTCCAGGAAAGGACTTGGAGAGTAAGATGAAGCAGGTGTCTCTGCTGAAATGCACCCTGTAAACCTGCCAGTCCTGCCCCCTGGTTCGCTTGGTTTCATCTCTGGGCTCCCTGGCCTTTCACCGGGCTCCTTCAAGATAGGCACAGGTTCTGCAGAGCTGGGTAAGGGAAAGGAATCTGGAAAAGATGGTGACACACTCCCCGGGGGCGCCTGGCTGCTCCAGGAGCCTGCCATGTGTCTGCTCTCCCGGCAGCCTTCTCCTGGCACTGAGATGGCGAGGAACTGGAAAGCAACGCTGCCTGCGGCCCCCTGGCGTGGCCGGCGAGAGCCCACCGCCGCTGCCCTGGAGAGAGCCCACCGCCGCTGCCCCGGAGAGAGCCCACCGCCGCTGCTCCCGTGAGAGCCCACCGCCGCTGCTCCCGGCGAGAGCCCACCGCCGCTGCCCCGGAGAGAGCCCACCGCCGCTGCCCCGGAGAGAGCCCACCGCCGCTGCCCCCGCACAGCGCTCACCCCCGACCACACACGGCT